ATATTAAAATTACCTACAATAATTACTTTATCTGTTTTGAGGATTAAAGTTGATAAAAACAGAACTGGCTCTAGTGTTTTCCAGGTCGGGTGAGAAAGACTAAGAACAAGGCTTTCAAATGAATTATAATTTAGTTTAGGTTTAGGATCAATTAAAAGGCTTGAATTATATATGGCTGCTACTCCACCTCCTCGGCCTGTGCCTCGGGGGATGTGAGTATTAATATGACTGGGGGGGGTGGATTCATTTAGACTAACATACTCCTCGTGGGACAACCAGGTCTCAGTAAGTAAATGTGCTGTCCTGTATTGTCAAGAAAAACTACTGGAAAATGGGAACCCTTGAAAAGTGTTGCTTTAGTAGCGCTATCAGAAAAAACCCTAACAATACCCAACCCTATCTGTGTAAGGACTGTATTTGGTGTGAAGACCAGACTGGTCTTCACACTTTTTACATCCAAATGTTACAGCATTTTTACTTCTTGCTCAGTGTTAAAGCCTGTCAGCTACAGTTAATAACTATAATTTCATTAACATTTTCTAAATTGTTGTAAGCATGGCTCTTAAAAGAGTACCCCAGTGACTTCTATAAAGTTTTTGGACTTGAAAGAGACACATTAAAAATAATTAAGTCCAAAAACACATTTCCCATAATGCAACTTGATAGTAAATATTTTATCAGACTTTTTCTGCCCATATCTCTACACCTCTATTTTGTAACACAGGCTAAGTTTGTAGTTTCCAAAACCACACTGACACACCCAAGTGATTTTACTCAAACTTGACAAAATAAAACAAAAGAAGACATTACACAATTGTGTGTACTAGTGAAGTGACTTTTACACACTGGATTGGCCTTTTAATTGTGCCTGTGATTCTCTGGCAGATTCAGTTTCCTGCTCTGGACATCCGTCTGTCCTACAATGACATTCAGCTCTTCTTGGCCATCACCAAGTCCATCCCTACTGCCAGCACTCCACTGCCCTCTGACTCTGACACCACTACTGCACCCCACACGGATCCCCCTGCTACACCCAAAGACATCTTCAGGCAGAAGACTGAGGCCCTCATAGGTATGTAGGCACTATTTATAACCTACAGTAGCTTTAACTGCTTTTCCATTCCCCTAAAGAATACAGGGAATACAGGTCCAGGGTTTTTGGCACATTTTTTTTCAGTGTCCACTAGTACTACTGTTTAGTTATATACTGTTTTTGCACTGGGTATTATTACTCCCAGAAAGGTATTAACAAGGTTGTGTTTGGTCTCCCCAGCGAGCCAGCTGACCCATTTACAAGACCTTGGCTTCAGGAAAGAGGACTGCAAAAGAGCCCTGATCAACTGTAAAGGTGAGTGAGACATTTAACACTGTTATCCATACCTATTAATGGTATAATAATAATACGTCCATCAGGCCAGCTGGACCAGGCTGCCACGTGGCTTCTGGAGAATGCTGAGAACATGGCAGGTCATCCCAGAGCCAGAGCTGACTCCAGCTCCAGCAGCCACTCGGCTCCACTGTCTGGGGTGGAGGTGAAGGCTGAGAGTGTCTGCATCTGTTTTATCGATGACTGTCTGGACTGTGACATTCCACTGGCTGAGCTCACCTTCTCCAGTAAGTCTCATTTACATAAGATCCATCTGCATTGTCAAAGATATGATTAAGATTGGGGATTACTTTTTCTTATTGTGATTATGATGAAAGATTAGGCATAGTTTAATTAGAGCTCAATGAATTAGAAGTCTTACTAGTGTGCTTATCCTTCAGCAAGTTAGCTTATATAAACCTCAGGTAGTTAAGATACATAGCCTATAACCGCAGTTTGAATTCTTCCTATAATTGTCTTATCCTTCTCTCTCTCTTTCTCTCCCTGCTTTTCCTCAAAAATCAAAACTTTGTGGATTTCAGTGGAGTAAAAACTCAAGTATTAGACATCAAATTGTTAGTTCAGATTTATTGAAGTGGGGTTGTATGAGGTACTTCTACACAGTCAGTGTATTACCCACAGTAGCCCCCAGTTTGGAGAAGCAGACAGAAGTATCAGCACAGAAGCTAAGCCTATTTTAGACAACTACAAAAATTAATATCAGTTTAAGTGTATCTATGTTCTCTTCAAAGCCACCAGACTCCATCAACAAAAACCGTGCTGCCTCAATCCTTTAGGTTGTTTATGTTATTGTGTGACTTTTGTGTGTGTTTTAACACGTTGTTAATCCTGTGGATCGACCATAGACTGTATAATTAAAAATGTACGTATTCTGAGAGCTATTTGGAATCGAGGCAGCCGCAGACCAGCAACTCCCTTGTTTTGCAAGGTAAAAGTACAGCTTTTGTCAAATTAGTCTGGTGGCTTTGGAGAAAGTTATATAGGGTTTCCTGTCAGAAAAGGCTGTATAACGGCAAGGTAAAGTGGGTTTTTTTTTCCGGCTTCCCTCGTCCACAGCAGTGCATTGCTTAGACTGCGGTCTACTGTACGTAATACACAGACTGTACCTCATACAACCACACTTTTATAGATCCGAACTAACTCTTTAAGGAATGCAAGTGTACGTTTTTAAGAACTATCTAAAAGTCAACCACGCAACAATGAACAGTGTTTTGAATAATAATTATTATTATTTAATGAATAAATAATTACACATCCAGGATGTTGAGGATGAACATCTTGTATCTTAACTTGAGATCTGCACACTGTTGGTTATTGCAGGGCTTTATGTGCTGCAGCGCATTGGTTCCACCCAGGAAGGCAATGCCAGCTTCACTCTGTCTGGAGACTACTATAACAGAGAGCTGTCAGGTAATTATACGTATAAACTGAAATCATCAGATTTCCACAAAGTAAAAGTGTGTGTCCTGCTCATAGTTCAGTTATAAAATCTCAGCCCACCACGGAGCGTTTCTCCTGGCGGGTTGCTGCAGTGCTGTCAGCAGAGAGTCAGTCATAATGGATGGCAGTAGAGGAGGTTGAACCGCCATCTGGTTCAAATGCCGCTGCCCCCCTGTCCAGTGTCACGCTGCCCTACCTAACTATCTCTAACTATCTCTTCTCCACTTCCATTACAGTTAATTTTGTGGTATGGGGTCATTTTGAGACTGAGTTTGTAAAGTTTACAGCCTGCCATGCTGTCGCTCTGTGTAAAATGCATGTAAAGTGCAGTTTCCACTGACATAATGTGAATTGACTCGGGCTCTTCTCCACTGATGAGTCGAATCATTGAGTTTTGGAGGCAGCTCTGTTATCAGTGTGTTCTACACCAAAGTGCAGAGCAAGTGAGATGATTTTATCTACAAATTGATTAGACCTCTAAGCAAACTGGATCAACAGATGGGATGTTGCTGTTTATGAATGACAAAACATATCTCAGTTTAAAGCCACAGGGTGGTAATCTTTATCATGTGTGTACCAGGCTGGGAGCCCTTCATCGAGCCCTGGCCTTGCTTCTTGTCCTGGCAGCAGCAGGCTGCTGGCCGTCTCCACCCTCCACGTCTCAAGATGGGGATTCGAGCCAAGCAGAGACTAGACATCAACATCACTTCTGTCCTGTTGGGTGAGTGCAGAAACAAACATGTACAGATTGTTCACACAGTGTTCAGACAGAGAAGTCAGCACCAGTTGGTGCTAGTTTCCAGTTGCAGTGTTAGTCTTGTCCCAAAAGCCAGAAACATTGAACATGTCTTTATCTGGTCTTTCCAGAACAATACAACACCACCAAGAGCTCCTGGATAGCTGACTACTGTAATGAACAGACCCCCCAGTCCCCCCCCCCCNNCCCCCTGCCCTGGATGGGCTCATCAGTCGACCCACCTAGCTGTGGACAGAGTGAGTGCCAGCTACACACAGTACCACAAACATCTTCACAAAAATAAAAATATTAATAAAAAAAAACAAAATTGCTGTTGTCCTACCAGAGCTTGTCAGAATTAACATGCTAAAATGGCTACACAATCTGCATGACAGTTCCACCCTTAGATATTTGCACAATTAACTACACACTGAAGAAAGTATTATGTGATCTTTGGTCAGTTATTTGTGTATCTACTATGTGAAAAGACACTAAAAGACATTGTTGCCAATGTAAATTGTAAGTCTAGATTATTGTAGACATTTATCAACAAATCTCATGGTGAGCCAAACCAACAGTGAATGTATCTATATGGGCTTAAAGTCAAGTATTACATTCTGTGTCAAATTAGATAAATGTTTTTGTTTACATTTTGTTCAGATTTTATATGTTTACTATTTGACACCAAAAAATATATTTTGTAAAAAAAAAAATGTTTGCTGAAATGAGCAACGGCATGTTTTGAGATGCGAAAATCGGGACAAATTTCAACCTTGGCTTGCCATGCTCGCCATATCCAGATTGATGATGTTGGAGCCATTTAAATTTGGCACAATCAACACACAATCAATCACTCTAAAAATATGACATCTTTTATTTTATTTATTTAACCAGGAACCATTGAAATTTCCTAGGGAGACCTGGCCAAGAAAGCACACCAGTTACAATTTAAATAGAAATAAAAACACTGTCTACAGGGAAAACACACACACAAGGAAAGGACCAAATCCATTCATCATTAAGATGCAGTATGTTTTGCTAATTATTTCAAGTCCAAGGAGGAAAGGAAGAGAAAGCGTTTTCCCTAACTCAGTGAAAACCCTTTACCCCTGGTGGAACAAACCTGAAGAATGCTGGACTTTTGCATCAGGAGATTACTTTCAGTTTAGAGGGAGTTTATTCAGCATGGCCTTGTACACAAAAATATACAATAAATTGTTTACTTAGATTTGGCCAGTCTACCAAATCATAAAGTTTACAATGATGAATAGGGGAACCAGTTTTATAAAACGTACAGCACCGTGATACACAGAATCTAAAAACATCACCACAATCCAAGGTTAGTAAAAGTAGCTTGCACAAATTATTTCATGGCTAACATGTTAAAACAAGCCTTATTTTGAAAATAAGGCCTTATTATACATCTGCTTGTGCCTTTCAAACCTTTAACAAATTTCATCGCTTTGGGTCGCCAAAGCTTCACAGATTTTAAGGGGTGTAATAAAACTTAAAATTACGTGGCGTCCGGTTAGCTCAACTGGTAGAGCTGGCACCCCATGTACCCAGGCTGAGTCCTTGCTGCAGCGGTCCAGGGTTCAAATCGGACCTGCGGCCCTTTGCTACGTGTCATCCCCTCTCTCTGCCCCCCTTTCCTGTCTATCTTCAGCAGTCACTATCAAGTAAAGGCAATAAAAGCCCAACATAATACTTTAAAACTTAAAATTATACACAGTATGCCTATATCTCAGCATAATACACATAATACAGACAGATGATTGTATAAAAAGTTAATAAAAATATCGGGAAATCTATAATATAATATCTATAATATCTGGTCTGGACATAATATACTCAAAATTCATCCAAAATCTCTCGTTTGTAACTTGTAACTTCATTGTACAGTTTATCAGTTGTTCTCTACTGTTATTGTTATGCATTGCATTGAAGTTAGGAACCACTGCTCTAGGAGTTACATTTCTGAAGATATTGAACCCTCTTAAAGACGCCTTCTCATCCAAAAATGTGCGAAAATGACAAAATTCCCAGGAGCAAAAAACTACATCATTCTCAAAATTCAGCAAAAATATTTTACAGAATTTATTTCTTAGTGTCAAAGAAGATATACGTAAAGTTTGAACAAAACCTCTATCTGTTTTGACACAGAATGGCCCATATATTTGGTTCTGATATTTTCATGGGATTTTTTGATAATAAGAAAAACATAGAATAACACCAGTTATCCTGAAAGCGGCTTGTTTAGAGTTGGTAGAGCTTCAGTTGGTTACTTTGTTTATCTGCTTTCATCCTGTGAGAAACTTGGTTGATAGGTTGCTCTATTCTGAAGAGCTGTTGGCAGAACAGGAAGTTTATCTGCCTTTTATAATGCTTAGTTCATTAGCTAAGAAGTGCTAATGACATAACTAGCACTCATCAGCCAAGTTCTTCTGGTCCCTCAGTTGAATGGGAAATGACTGGTCATATGTTGGTTGTTGTTCTGAACACGTGAATAGAAGTGAAGCATGAATTGCACTGTTCATAAACGTATTGATTTGCAGAGTGCTGATTGCCAACACGGAGGACGGAATGAGGATGATGAAACTCTAACCCTCTTGTGTGTTCCCTCTGCATGTGTTTCTGTTGTGCAGTAACTGTCTCTCTCTACTGTCAGGTGCTCCTCTTGCTCACCTTAGAACTAGGAGCACAGCCAGCTTGACCTGCCTCGAGCAGCAGATTCACTCCAGAGGTACAGTTCAGAGTTTAGTTACCCAGACAGTCTCCCTCAGCAGCACACTCCGTATCCAAGCTCTGATTCACTCATTATCAATTGTTCCCCATAGGTGCTTAGACATCCTGCAGTGTTGTGAGGCAAAATAGATTGGTAGCAATTGTTAAAAAATGATCACAGTACAAATTATAACTAATATACGTATGAGAACTGTTGTGCCCTGTGGCGTACGGCACTGATCATAAACGTCCCATGAACCCTAACCCTTTGTTGTGTGTCATTCTCTAACCCCCTTGTTTCTCTCTACTGTTGTTACTGTTGGTTTAAAATGGCCAACAAATATCCTGTAAAAGATATTCTTATTACATTTTCAGCCTCTGAGTGAACACAAATAAGCTACAAGAAAATAAAAATAGAATTGGCAGTAATATTTGCGGCTTCTTTGATTGTGGCTCTTAATAATAATAATAATAATAATAATAATAATAATAATAATAATGCATAAACATCTGTGTAAGACAGAATAAACATCAATCATCACTATGTACAACATGTAATTTCTGCCATAAGGTGGTACAATAACAAAACAGTTTGATGATGCAATGAAGTAGTGTGGGATCATGTGAGTTGTTATATTCATCAGCATTGCTGTCATTGCAGTCAGCTTCTCCTGGTTAGGATTCCTTCAGTGTTCATGGTTCAGAAGGTTTCTACTGGGAGCCCAATTATCCACAGAGGTCTCCTCCTCCCCAAAACAAACTGATTAAAATGGCTAAAAACACTGAATAAAGCAGTTCCATCTTAAAAATGACTGTTTCTCCCACTCAGTTGGGCAGACAAAGGACGTCCCGGAGGGCCTGCGAGCTGAGCTGCTGCTAACGTTAGCTCAGCTCGGATGGTAAAAATGTGGCTTCAAACTGGAAAAAAAGTCAATGTATGACAGCTTNNGCATGCACAAAGGGGATATGACATTATTGACCAATTAAGTTTACATTTTCTGGAGCACTCTAGACCACAAAAAATCTGTGAAATTTGCAAACATCCTAAACAGATAATGTGTTATTAGATTGAGTCTCTCACCGTATTTTTTTAATACACTGTCCGATGATCCACAGGTAGCAATATGCCAACAAAGACAGATGCAGTCGCGTTTTGTGTCAGCATTTTAAGTGTAGACCAACACACATTGTTTGGGATTGGACTATGTATACTCAAGTTACAACTTCCTGTTTTATGGCAAAACATCAAAATCGGACACCATGCCACACATGTCAGATTCAGATTCAGATTCGGATACGGTTTATTGGTCCTGCGCAGTGAGAAAAGTTTGTTTTTGCAGTAGTCCTGTACAGAGAAGAGCACCGCTCACAGCAAGATGAATTCAACAAACACAGCAAACGTTACAAACCGATGGTACACAGTAGTACGCAGACGGAATATACACATTATCTACACAATGAACAGCATCGCGTAATTTGTGGTGGAGTTTAACGCTTCTGTATAGCGCTGGGGTACAAAACTCTTCCAAAGCGTGCCTTTCTGTGAGAGCAGGCTGTCTGTATCTACGGCCCAGGATGGGAGAAGAGTGAAGCCATGAGGTTGAGAGGGTGGCTGGGATTGTCGTTCAATGAAAACTCAAGCTTTTGATTGCTTTTCATCGCAAATAGTTTATAATGACCAAATTTGAAATAGATTTGAGAAATTCATGTGTTTAAACTGATAAAAAATACTACTCAATTAAAAATGGCCAACCTCCTGATGGGTTTGGGATATGGGATATGAAACAGGCTTTTAACATACATCTGCATACCGATTTTCATACATACTGTATATGCTGCTACTTAGGGGGTGCTGTCAAGCCATTTTACCACACCCACATGCAAGATCCATATGACACCGCCACCGCTGCATTTTTGTCCAGGCCCAGTGGATTCTTGCAAATGCCATTAGGAGCACCAGGGAGAGCTAGAAGAACCTGATTTTTTTCACAGATTATCTGTTTCATGTACTACTGTCAGGATATAGTGAAAGTTTGATAAATATATAGTAAATATGATAAAAATTTTATTTTTATAAAAGTTACCTACTGAAGCTTTAAAATCTGTCTTATTAGATATAATTATGATCGGTGCCTGTCCTGTCTTTCCTCCTCTTATGACATTTTTTTTTTTGCCTGAGCAGCATGACATGGTTTGCACGGCACGGCCAGTATTCGAGAATCCATTGTGAAAATTCACTACATTTTGGCACAGTAGTCTTCTGTGTGTTTCGTAGACTGTTGTACATTGTGTAGGATAGAGTAGTGTTCTTTAGTACATTTGATTATCCTCCCTTATCCAGTTTGGGCAGTTTCTTCGTCTCCTGTAGTTTTTAATACTACCAGGGTTCCCACGCATCCTGGAAAATGATTTGTTTAAAACAGTGGGAACCTTGACTACTTTGTGTATATAGATAAATAATTTTTGTTTTGACATCTGATAAATATAAACTAAAGGGTTAATCTAAAAAAATTCAATAACTGCTGGACACGGAGGTTAAATTCATTTGTTAGTCATTTGCTAAATGGTTAGTTGGCCAAAGAGTAAGTTTGTATTTGTTCATTTGTTTTGTTTTTTTTGTTTTTTTTAATACTCATTTACTGTAGAGTTTTCTGGCATTTGGTAACATTTTAAAATCTTGCAAACAATAATAATAATACAGTGTGATGGTAAGTATAAAGCGACATGGTGTACTTTCACTGAAATCTATGGAAATCATGTTTGATATACAGATTGCTACTTTTGTTTGTGCGCTTTTAGTTTCCACATCACTGTATGTTCATACATAGAATGTGAAAAAAATGGCAATAAGCCAAGCCAATTATAACTGTTGTTATATATAAAACGTTATAATTGCAGATTTACAAAAAGAAGTATGATTTTTCATTTCTAAAGAAGTTACCTTTTTAAAGGGGTTCTCCAGAGATTTCTATAAAGTTTGGGGCACATTTAAAAAAAAATCAAAGCAACAGGGGCCAAAACATCACGACTCAGGCAACAGAAATGCACCTAAAAGTGTCTTTTCTCAACCCCAGTTCATGTAGACTGAGATAAATCACGCCCTATGATATCATCAGGAGTGTCTCCAGAGCCACAGAAGTACTATTCAGCAGTTTTTTACAGGCTGACGACTAGTTGTCCCTATGACTGCTAAGGGAAATCTTTTTGTGTAAAATTGGTGGAGCGCCCCTTTAAAGGAAAGACTTTCAAGGCACCTGTGCCGGCTGCTTTTTAAGTATCAGAGACCAAGAAGAAAGCAAGTGCATGACTGTTATAATTAAACATACACTACTAAAGTTAGCACACTTGTCTCTGATCCAGTTTTCATTTCTGTTTCTAGCTGAAGTTAAGCTGTCCAAGAGGAGGCAGCCATTCGTGGCCTACGCTCTCCGCAACCACACAGGATGCACCATGTGGTTTGCCACCCTGACTACAACCCCCACAAGGTACGTGGAGCCATAACCATACCTGTGTATGGAACCATAACTACATGTACTACAAACTGGAGATACAGCATGTTTGGCAGATTTAAAGGAATAACTAGATTTGCAAGTAGTGCCCTGTGCTCTCAAAAAGAACAGTAAAACATTTTTGAAGAAAATTTTTTTTCCACATTTGGTATGACAGTACCAAATGCATACCAAATCTGGTCACATATGAAAAATATTCTTGTGAGCTCAGAGCAAAGTTGTACCATAATGCCACCTTATGTCTGACTGATTTGCACCAAGTTTGGTAATACGGAGCACATTTGGTACATGCATACAATATTTAGTGTCAACTGACGTGATATGAGACGACATGGAGCTAAAATATTATTTTTATATACTGAAAACATGTGACAACACCACCTATTTGGTTTGCAGGTAATTTGGTGTGACAACACTGGAGGAAAAAATTCTATGTGAATGCCAAATTTGGTGACACTTGAACAATGTGGCCCAGGACGCTTTATCGTCTACACTACAAAAGATATTTGATCAAATGCGTCGCAAACTACCTCTGCAAGTGGTTTGAGTGATTGGTTAGCAGTGCATTTTATTGCCCGTTTACACTTGTATTCAGAGCTGTCCACTTCTGATCTGATCCCCCAAGACGCATGCTAATGCCAGCTGTAAACAGGCTCATAGATCACTGGATCAGCGCTGCATTCTAATATGTTAGTGTACATGTGACAGTGGTGATAGTTTGTCTGTTAAAGACAGTTGTCCTACTGTTAAAGTTTTAAGAATATGCTGTTTTTACTAGTAGTACTATTTCTTGTGTGATGATGTGTAAATAAATATAAATTCATATTTAACTTTAGAGTCGAGGGGTTCTCTCCTGCTGACCAATAGTTCCAATGTCAGTGAGAAACTGTCTCCAGGTAAATCTATTCACATGCTCCCCACAGGGTGGCGCTGTCTCACAGCAGCAGTGCAGACTCCATCTCAGATGTCCACGGTCCAGGAACTGATGACACTCACAATGTCAGCCAATGGAGAGAGGTGCTGCCTGGGGAGGAGATTCCCTTTGAGTTTGAAGCCCGCGAGAAGCTCCGCCACCGGTATAGCTCTGATTCACATTCACAGCACATGTGGATTTTGTCCAGTGAATATGAAATTGTTTATGATACTGGTGACTGGTTTGGTCATCATTCTTCCTTGTCTGATAACATTTCACTGCTCGCTGGAACTTAATGGTACATGGGTTCTCCATCCTGTCAGATTTTTCTTTTATTTGTCTCTTCTGTTATACTTTAAAATGTGATAAATCGGCTTGATTGCTGGGGTTTGGTGACCTGCCAACTTTGATAACAATTGATGGAATAAGCAGGACATGACAACTCGTGCTAGCACCATTGATGCTGATGTTATTTGTTATCTGTTAGAACTATACCAGTCCAACAATACATGTTCCATGGTCTTTGCTGAGTTTTTAGTTGTTGTTGTTTTTTTTTTTTTTATAGTTTTGAATATATTAATTTATTCATTCATTCATGTACATGTACATCAGTGGGAGAAAACTATATATTTTTCCTAACAATATACACAGTAGGCCTTATCTCAGTAATTTGTTCATGTTTTTGTTCATAGATTGTGTTCATGTTTTTTTTTAAGTTTAGATATATTCAAGATATAAACAGGATAAGGGCACGGTGAAGACATGAACACAATCTATATTCACACAGCTTTTACTATCTGATAAACAGCCTCGTCCTGCATTAAATTATAAGAACAATACATAATACAGACAGAGAATTGCATAAAAAGTTCCTAAAAATATCAGGAAATCTCTCAGGAAATAATCTGCTCAAAATTCATGCAAATCTCTGGTTTTACACAAACTTCCTGCAGTTACTGTGTTCACTGTTTGGGTTCATTGTATAGTTTATCTGTTCTCTACTGTTAATGTTATTGTTGAATATAATATGAACTATCCATACAGTATATTTCACTTGGTCAGTTTACAGACTGATAGAAAAGGGGTCCCTTGAGGAAAAAGGTTGGGAACCACTGATGTACATGAACATCAGTTATGTGGTCCTATATTATATTCATATTCATATTAATATTCAGTTATTGTTGTTAAGTACTATGCAGTGCTTTTGTCTGTGTATAAATGATGGAGGTTTTTTTGGTACATTGTAGTTGTGTATCACTGATCCTGTGATGCCTCCTCCTCTGCAGACACACTCATGAGCTGAAGCTGCACCAGCTGCTGGTTCGGGTGTGTGGATGGGAGCAGGTTAAGCCGGTGTCTGTGGACAAAGTGGGCGTTTTCTTCCGTTATGCAGCTGCAGACAGAAACAACTCTTCCAACACTGTGAGAATAAGTCAAAACCTCCAAAATCATGTTGACAATGTTTCTGACAAATTGGCCTAGAGTTTGAGTTAAACCTTTCCTTTTCTCTTTACTCTCTTCCACAGGTTGGCAGTCCTATCAGCAGGACCAACATCATTCACCCTCATGTTTATGTAAGTCTAGCAAGTTTTAATGGCTAATGCCAATATTTAGAGAGCAGGGTGATCGATGGCAGATATATAATGCCGATATCAAAACGAAAAGAAAAGTAGAAATGAAGAAAAGTCATGGCTGCGTATTTAGTTTGAAACTCAACTGCAGATCTTTTCAGCCGCAAGCAGAAATCTACATGCATACAACCACATGATCAAATGTACTTAATTATAAGGCACCACAGCTTATTCTTCCGCTGCGAAGTGGTCAACTGTCCCGATGGTGACTTGTTTTGTGTGTGACTCCCTTTGGCCCCTCAGTTCTCGGCCCTGCCTCCGGTCAGAGTGGTCTTCTCCATCACAATGGAGGGCAGTGCAAGGAAGGTCATTACTGTCCGCTCAGCCCTCATGGTGAAGAACCGGCTAGATGTCCCTATGGAGGTCAGACTCGACAGTCCCTCTGCTCCTGACAGTAAGACACATTACTACATTACTAAATTAAATAATCATATAAACCTGTGCAACCAAGATTGTCTGATATACTGTTTTGATTTTATTTTATTCTGATCATTTAAAAGACCAGTGTGTAAGATTAAGAGAACTCTATCTATAGAATATTGTCAGAAATGTAATATCATAATCATAGGTATGTTTTCATTAGTGTATAATCACTGGCTGGGGCTCAGAGGTTAGGTTGTTGATTCGATCCCTGGCTCCTCCTGCAGCATGTGGAAGTATCCTTGAGCAAGATACTGAACCCCAAACTGCTCCTGATGCTGTGCATCGTTGAGTGAATGTGAATGAATGAGTTTCTGTCCAATTTACCATCGCTTTGTGAAATGGTGAGCATGTGGCATGTAGTGTAAAAGCGCTTTGAGTGTTTGGAATTGTTATTTTTAGGACCTGAGCAACTGACCGTGCGAAGGCCCTATTGTATCTGTAAGGATTCTTATTTTAGTAACAAATGAATCGCATTTTTGGAGGCTTTTCCATGCTCGAAAACTCATGAAACGCGGGTCAGCCGTGGCGGAAAATTTTTTTTTTTCTAGGGGTCCACTATGAGCATGGCAAAATGGCCCCCTCAGGGGCCCATAAACTGTACCACCTGTGGCCCCTTTCACCGATATGCATAAAAAACGGCACACACGTAGATCTTATCCTGATGCACAAAAAAATCTAGTGGGCGCGATATCCCAAACCCAACAGGAAGTCGGCCATTTTGGATTTAGCGGCCATTTTTGGCGATTTGCACACATTGTATTTGAACGAATTACTCCTAGGGAATTTATCAGATCGACTTCACATTTGGATACAGCCATTTAAAGACATTCATGATTAAAAGTTGCGCTATTAACGACATTCTGTCAAACAGAGTGCCCATGGCAAGGTGTCAAATTTTAACGACTTGACATGTAAAAGAAGTTGTCATAACTTCTGCGTACATGATCCGATTTCAACGAAACTTCACGTTTGATGAGAGTCCCGCCCTGAACATGTCTATGTGATAATATTCAGTAATAGTGAGAGCGCCACCTAGTGGTGAAAGGAAATGTCATTTTTTATACTTCTATTGTCTACTCCTAACAGCTTAATCAGAGCCACCTAAAATTTTGTCAGAAAATGAAAAATATATTGTTGATGATATTTC